GTTTTTATTTTTTCTTGCAAACTTCAACCAAAGGCTAAATAAAAGAAATTAAAGTTAGAAACATTCGTTTTCATTCGAATAATAATAGCTCGTTTTCATTCGAACCATTCGTTTTCATTCGAATAATAATAGTTCGTTTTCATTCGAATAATAATAGTTCGTTTTTCATTCGAATAATAATAATTTATTTTCATTCGAACCATTCCTTTTCATTTGAATAATAATAGTTTGTTTTCATTCAAACCATTCGTACCATTCATTTTTATTCAAAAAATTTATTTTCATTCGAACCATTTGTTTTCATTCGAACCATTTGTTTTCATTTGAATCATTCGTTTATTCAAATAAAACCCTAAAATTTTATTCATAACCTGTGTAATACTTAAAATTTTAACTAATTCAAATTTAAACTTTTATGGTGTAACAAATCTAAGCCACCACAACCAATCATGTCATGATAATTCACGATAATCTTTATTATTATCGATATCAATCAATCTTTATTTGAATTATGTTTACTATACTTTGACCTTTACTTCTTTACTTTAAAATTTATTTAATTTTAAAGATTTTTATCAAGCTTTCTTCTTTCTTCAACTTCGTCAGTCTTTAAATTATGAATTTTTTCATAGTAATTTCAATGTGTTGAATCTTCAAAATCTATTCAAACCTTAATAAGGTTTAACAAAAATGTGTTACATAATTAATTCACTTTTTTTTTTTTTTTTTCAAACACCATCCGCGTCATTTTAAACTCACACTAAAAAAAAGCCTATACAAAAGCTTATGCAAATTTCAATATTAATATGAACACTCCTCTTAATTCTGACTTTTTAAATAACTCTTTAAATCCAGAGGACTCACCTGTTCCTAGCCAAGAAAAAGAAAAAAAAAAAAACATGGAAGGCCAATTAGTTCTATTTGGGAAGATGTTAATAAAGGAGATTCTGTTGGCTCTGGAAAATTTAATGCCTCTTGTAAATACTGTACAAGTAAATGGACACGTGGTGAAGTTGCAAAACTAGAGGAACATCTTGCCAACCATTGTTCAAAAGCCCCTGCAACAATTGTAAGAAAATATCTGTCAATAGTGTTAGAACATAAGGATAAAGCACCAATTAAGAAAAGGAAAGTTGAAAATAGCCAACAAACAATTATTACAAATTATCACGATTCTATAGAACTTCCAAATTCCAGAATTACCAGTATTAACCGTGCTCTAGCTAAATTTTTTATTACATAGTTCTATTTGGGAAGATGTTAATAAAGGAGATTCTGTTGGCTCTGGAAAATTTAATGCCTCTTGTAAATACTGTACAAGCAAATGGACACGTGGTGAAGTTGCAAAACTAGAGGAACATCTTGCCAACCATTGTTCAAAAGCCCCTGCAACAATTGTAAGAAAATATCTGTCCCTAGTGTTAGAATGTAAGGATAAAGCACCAATTAAGAAAAAGAAAGTTGAAAATAGCCAACAAACTATTATTACAAATTATCACGATTCTATAGAACTTCCAAATTCCAGAATTACCAGTATTAACCGTGCTCTAGCTAAATTTTTTATTACATGTGGTATATCATTTCGAATAGTGGAACATCCTTTTTTTATCAATTTTGCAAAAGAGCTCAATGCTGGGTATGAACCACCATCAAGAGAGATTTTATCAGGTCAATTACTTGAATGTGAGTTATCTCAAGTAAACTCCAAAGTTAAATCTGAAATTGAGAAGGAAACCAATCTAACATTAGGTTAGTTAAAAAATTAATATGATTTTTTTAAAATCAAACTATTATAGATTTTTAATTATATTAATGTTGATATAATTTAGCCTTTGACGGCTGGACCTCTGGTACACATCGCTCAATTTGGAATTTTGTAATTATGACTCCTTCACGAAAAGAATATCTTTATCAACTTTCTGACTTGTCAGAAGTTTCTCATACTGCAGAATATTTAGCCATGGTAATTGGAGAAATCATTGAAAGTATTGGGGTGAATCGAATATCAGCCATAGTTTCAGACAATGCCTCAAATGTTCGAAATGCATGTGCAATTATTCAACAGAAATATCCAAATATAGAGAATGTTCGTTGTATAGCACATGCTATCAACTTGATTGCATGTGACATTGTCAAAGAGAACTTTGGCGATCGCTTATTACAACGGGTTAATAATTTAGCCACTTTTTTTAAAAGCTCTCATCAAGCTGGTGCTGTGCTTTTCCAACTAATTAAAGAAAACAAAATTAATGGAGGAGGGATAAAAATGTATTGCAAGACACACTGGAGCACTGCTAGTGAGTCAGTAGAATCAGTAATAAGGCTAGAACCAGTTCTTGAGGAGATTACTTCTCAACATAATCATTTATTAAATGATAAAGTAAAACATATAATTCAAGGGAGAAATTTTTTTTCTGATTTACGAATCCTTGCATTTGTTTTGAACCCTTTAAGGAAAGCAATATTAGCTTTGGAGTCAAGATCAGCCACACTTTCTGATTGTTTTTTAAACTTAGTACAATTGGCAGCAGTTTTAAAAAAATTACCAAAATCATTCAATCAAACATTCCGTAATCATTGCTTTAAAGTAATGAATGAAAGATTCAAAGAGTTTGATGATGACAAGTACCTTACATGCTTTTTTTTAGATCCCCATTTTAGGAATACGCCTCTCAAAAAAGGAGCATATGCAAAGGTTGTCAAATGTGCAATGACAATTGGGAAAAGATTAGGATTTGACCTCCATGAGTCAAAAATCTTGTGCGAGCAACTATGAAAATATAAGGATCATGAAGAGCCATTTGACCTTGATATTGTCTGCTGTTCAGAAGACCCTACAAGCTGGTGGAATCTTATTGACACAGATTCACAACCAGATACTCTTCCAACACTAGCACGTTATTTGTTTTCAATATGCCCAAATTCTGCAAGTTGTGAATGTGGATTTTCTATGCTTGGATGGCTGTTTCATAAACGATGTTTGAATCTCAATTTACAACGATTAGAATCCATGTCTAAAATGATCATGTACTGGAAATCCAATGCAAAGACAGAACTTGGATTTTATGGATTTAATAATAAGAAGAAAACTCGTCTAAGTGATGCTGAAATAAATATATCTATTTCAGAAGCATTTGCTGAGACAGATGATAATGACAACGAAAGTGTAACAATTTACTTCGTAATCATATACAATGTCTTATGTAGTACAATAATATTTACATCTGGAAATGTGACACACAATTAATTATTATTTGTAGCATCAATTATTTCGTGTCTTTAGTTATTATTTATTATTTACTATTTATCTATGTCCACAAATCTTCCGGATAGATTGATAAGAATTATTATGATTATTTTATTTATATTTTATCAATCTTTTATTATTATTTATATTTTATTTATATCATATCAATCTATGTAATTTTATTATATAAAGGACATCATTTTTAAGATAATAAAGATAACTTTGTAATTTTACAACAATTAAATTACTTATTTCGCTTTTAAACATTGAACGTTTACATTGACATATCAAAAATTCAAAAGCATATAGATAACCATATGCTTTACCTCTTTTTAAAGCTTTGATACTCAGTATATTTACTCGCAACAATCATGAAGTTGTATAAAAATATTCTGAACTTGCAAATCCAAATGATACATTATTACATGAATGGACATTTATTCTGGAAGTTTTGAAGATGATTCAGATCTAGATTTGTTTTGGAAAGAGTTATTAAAAGCTTTATCGTTTATCAAAGATGGTCTTAGATTACATATAGTTGCTAATTTCAGGAGTTGATGTGGAAAGAAGTTTTTTCATTTATAAAAATATTTTGGTTGATAAATGTCATGCATGCACTTTCAAAAGATTCAATCGTTGCATTAAATTTTTTATGTTTTAATGTAAATAAATAAATTAGATATTTTTGCATAATTCATGCAAATAATTTAAGTTTTGCGCTCTTCTCCTTAATAAAATTAATCACATCTACCATCCTTTGGACCATCTTTCCATCTCTCATCAATTTTACTACAATCAAATAATGTCTTGCCTAATCTATCATTAACAATATTATGCATATCACATAACCACCCTCCTAATGCCCATTTACTTTCGACTTTTGGTGGATACTTTTTCATCTCATTCCTTAAATGTTCTGCACAATACCAACATGGATAGAATTCGGAAAATGTTTTCAGGAAGGAGTTCATTGATTTTTGTTGTGAATATGATGGTACTTCTGGATAATAAGCTGCCATTGTATGTAAAAGTGTCCATGTTGACCTGCCCAATTCTTCTGAATCTGGTGGACAATCTTTTGGTAAACCATTCAAAGAAAATGATGAAGGTGATGATGATGATGATGATGATGATGATGATGATGATGATTTCTCATCACTTT